CACACACACACACACACACACACACACATTTTCCGCCCACCACCAACATAAACCCCTAAACACAGCCACATACGCATAAACCACTATACGCAAAAACCAAACAAACCCCCTGAATAAACATAGGCACAGCTAAACAGCCTTGTCTATAGGCAGCCGGCCTGAAACTCGAAGCAACACATTGACCTCAACCCAAAAATACCAATGGACAAACAACTAATGACAAGCCCCCTCTACACAACCCCACCACACGGCCGCCCCACTTTGAAAACTTTTTTTAAACCCCCCCCCCAAAAAAAAAAAGAACTACCGATGAAAATCAGAACTACTAAAAACAAAACACCAGTCCACCCACCAAACGACAAACCTACCCCAAACACATGAAACGGCACTGACAGTCCCCTCCGTTGTCGGCATCGCTCCTCGCACCGTTCCATACCCTGAACAAAACGCTACTGACTCCACTAACATACACAAAACTCTGCACATCCAAACAAACAGCGCACATGCCACACAAACGAACAATTCACACACAGTTTGTATTCCCGCCATCACCCTGCACGACTGAGCTCAACACACGTGCGCTAAGACATCTCCACGCCCCCGACATCACCTCTCTATGCACTTCAAACGTGCATAGCACACCCCTCCCCCGCAAACGCCCCAGAAATAATCCCCCTCCCCCCATCCCTCCCATACCAAACCATAGCTCACGGGCGCACTCGACCCTCTATCTGGTACTCCAAGGATCTCCCTTCCCACTCCCTCCTCAACTCACCAGAAGCATACCGACCACTACCCTCACCACAATGTATGCACTCCCTCCATCCTTTAAAGTCGTCCAATAGGTGTCTCCGCTCCACAACACTAAGACTCCCACTGTTGGCGACAACTGCAGTCCGTGTGCCTCCTCTTCTTCCTCCCCTCTCGTCCTCGCTAACCCCTCAGACTCGGTACTGAGAGTGGAACTCCGCCACCCTCCATAGCTACCTGAGAAAGGAGGGTCCTCTCTTCTCTCCTATCTACTCATCATCTCTTCATGCTTTCCGTACCACACTACAGTGGACATACGGATCCATAAGTGAYCGTGTTCGGCAGAACACAGGCTGGAAAGCCCGACACTGCGACCACAGTGGGTAGACTCCAGCAAGAGTTYGTGGTTAGAGATGGCCGSCATGGATGAGTTTCTCGCCGAGGTTAWTGCYAACGAGCACATGRTAAGTAATTACTGCTTAAACCACTGCTCATATCCTACCACTATACCCTGTCACTCTATCTGGGAGCCAGAGGACTACCACCCTCTGATGAGCCGTGACCGG